TATATATCTTGCACAACTCAAAGGTATTCAAATTCATTTATGGTCTACAGAACAGTAGTCTGGAGCTAGAACTGTAAAAGTTATACTATATGAACTACCAAAAAGAACAAAGGCCAACTGGTAAATATGGGATGTTAGTATGCAGAAGAACCGTAAAACTTTGCTGAAAAACATTCTTAAACTAGTATAACTTGCCAGGCATCGTGGTGCATGCTTTTTATCCCAGAGTTTGGAAAGCAGAAACAGAAAGATATCTGTGAGTTCGAATGCAGCCTGGGTCTGCAAAGTAAGTTCCAGCACACCTAGGGTTGTTCCACAGAGACACAGCTCTGACTCAGTGGTAGATGTGTCCTTGGTGAGATGACTCCTAGTATAAAGTTGTCAGCTTTAAGCAGCTTGATCTATAGGTTCAATATCAGTCCTAATCGAATTTGTTGTGGAACTGCTGGATTGATTTTACATTTTATAAAGAAGGGCAACATACCGCCAGTAATGCCAGCACATCTTCAGAATAAGGATCTGTTGTTTAATATAAAGCTTTATCTTCACCGTAGTAATAAGGGTAATGCTATAATGGAGTCGAGCTACACTAGCATAGAAAGAGACTAATAGGTAGTAGAGCACACACACACACACACACACACACACACACACACACACACACTCTCACACACTGCTCAAGAGTCCTGGATAAAAGAAGGTCTATTTAATTAATTTTGCGGAAGTGCTTGCTAATATGCATGGGAAAAACTGAAATTAGATCCCTACCTCATATCATCAAATAAAATAATTTCTAGGTGAATTTAGAATGATCAACACGTTAAAACTTTTTGGAAAAAATAATAGGAGAATATCTTTATTACCTCAATGTAGGGAACAGTTCTATACATGAGAAACAAACTGCTCACTGGGGAGGGAGATGATGAATTTAGAAACTAATGTTTCTCTGCTGTCTCTTCCGGCGGCAGCATGAAAACATTCCTTTTGAAGACAAGACTGCAGCAGTTAAAGTGGTAAGTTCGTGTTACCAGTGAGTCAAATGTTGGAGCTACATCAAAGGCAAATTTATTTGGAGATCAACTAATAGTCTATACGTTTTATCCATAGTAAATAGATTTCAGTGTATTCTTTAAAATGTGTATAGATAGCAGAGTAGTAGAATGAATGTCTGGATATTTTTATGTAATAAAATGGAAAATTTTGGTCTTTCAAATTTTTATCCAGGAAACAATAATCTTGTGTAGTAATTTGAAACCAGTGTGAATTTAGGATTAATGTCCATTAATAAATATATGTAGGGAGGTGGGTTGGAATTGGGAAAAGTAAAGGAAGAGAAATAATCAGGATAGATTAGGTAAGAAAAAAATGCCTTTTTAATAAGTGGGGTCACAGTGGGGTAGGGCAAGGAAAGAGTGGGACAGAAGTCCTGTCCAAAGGAAGGAGCTGAAAGTAGTTTTCCTTATGGACAAATGTGCTTTCGTCAAGGCCCAAGGATAAGGAGGATGAGCCGTGCCCAGGGAAAAAGCATCATGTGCAAAAACCCCAGACGTGGAGCACACAGGCGCCTTCTGGGGCTGACAGGGAACCAAGAGGGTCCTGGAGAGAAAGGGTGGGAGCAGCAGAGGGAAAGGCAGAGGGGCTGGTAGAGGACAGTCGTGTCTTCTCAACAAGTGCAAGGGATCCCACATTTTATTCTGAGGACAGTTCTGGGGTTTGAGTAAGGATTTTTTTTTCTGCTCAAATGTGGGGAGCAGAGGAGATGAATGGATACAAGAACTGTCATGAAATGCTTGGCTAGACGGAAATGACAAAAGAAGTCCTGGGCAACCTGACATTTTACTTTTAAGCGCTCTGTAAGAAAATGTTGATTTTTATTTGGAATGATGGAAATAAAAGTCTTTTTTTTTTTTTTTTTTTGCTTTTTCTTTATTTCTAACATTTCTCCCAGGATTTTCTTTGGCATCCAGAAGTTAATGGTTCTATGAAACAGTGTATCAAGGTGTGGACTGAGGTCTGTATCTGAAAACAGTCTTTTGTGTCTATAAGCAAATTTAACAAGCCATTGAGAACATTGTTTTTCCTAATCGGTGTGGGACTGATTTGTGTACTTGGATGATGAGTAACTGTTATTAAATATCTCTGCCCCATTATCAACAGGTAGGTAATACTTAGACTCTCCTTGTATAGGATCCTCTGTTGCTGCTGTCACTTAGGTTATTCAAGCTCAGAGGGTGACACACATAAGAAAGAAGGTTCAAAAACATAAAGCCAGAGACTGGGCATGCAAGTCAGGGGCCAGGAACTTGCCTATCATGGGTTAGGCCCTGAGTTCAGATTGTGTGTGAATGTGTGGGGCGGGGGGAGAGGGAGAGAGGATAGTAACATCAGTTGAGATTGAGATTGATTGATTTAGTACAAGGCTAAGCTATGTAGTGAGCCCTCATCTTGAAGATAAATAAACACAAATCACACAGAATAACATATTCTCTTGATACTTTTCTGGGGTTTCTTATTCATAAACAGGCACTAAAGGGGACTTTCTTGGTTTTACATTCAAAGACTTTCTTTTTATCATTGCGTGTATGACGTAATAGATAGGAGTAGTTCTAGCCTATAATATGTGTGCATAAATTAGAAGAGCAAGTATATTCTTGATGTCAGAGAATCTCAAGACTCTTGTAAGTCCATCTTACAGTCTCTGCAGTATTCTCCACAAAGCTAATACCAGGCTTTGGATGAAGCCTTCATTTCCCAGAGGCATCTGCATTGGCATGAACAAAACACTGTTCAGTATTATGTTTAAAAACGAACCACATTGCTGTGGAATAATGCTCTTATACACTGTAAAGATTTGTCACTCATACTAATTCAATAAAACACTGATGGGCCAGTAGCAGGCAGGAAGTCTAGGCAGTACAATCAGACAAGGAGAACTCTGGGACTAGGAAAGGCAGAGAGTCAGTCACCAGCCAAATGCAGAGGAAGCAAGGTGAGAATGCCTTACTGAGAAAAGGTACCAAGTCACATGGCTAAACATAGGCAAGAATTATAGGTAAACTTAAGTATTAAGAGCTAGTTAGAAATAAGCCTGAGTAATATGCCAAACAGTTTATAATTAATATCTGTGTGTTTATTTGGGACTGTATGACCGCAGGTCTAGATGGGACAGAAACTTCTGTCTACACCACATTTTGGATGAGATATGCATTTTTAGGGTCATGTTGGAACCTAGTCACCATTTATAATTCATTTGTTTAAGGCAGGTGTTCAGATGTATGGACTGCAGCTGAGAACGGTTACAGGGGACCAATATCAACTCAGGGTACCTAAGAATGGTACTGAGAATGGTCAGGGGCCAGCAGCAGTTTTAGTGTCTCTGGAGCTCAGTTGTGAGTCCTTCTTTATGTGTGTTTGGTGTTAGTTCTTTTCTTGGGGGAGACTTGCTAATACATAGGGTAAGTTGATACCAGAAGAATAGTAGTATAAACTACACTAACTTTATTTACCTGTCCTTTAAAAATAAACTACTTTTAAATACTTTAGAGTGGGATTTCCTAAAGGTAAGGACACTGGATTGAATGTGTTCTATATCTTGAGGGTAGTAGACATCTATTGAAACTGGTAAAACAGTCGATTGCTGAGGTATAGTGGAGAAGGATAGGGAAGTGGCCTAAACTGAAGAAACTATCTGTTTATGCTGGATATCTTAGGTTAGTGGAAAACCAAGCTGAAACTACTTGGGTAGTTTTGGGAAGTTTTGGTGTGGATTAAGGTGGAGAGAAGAGGTTTGCACAGAAGAAATTGAGTAAGTAGGAAATTGAGAGACTAGACGAAAATCTGTGGGAAATTGAATTATCTGGAAGTGGCAGGAGGAGGGGAAGGAAGAAAAACAAGAGAGAAGGGGCTGAACTGCTAGATTGCAAGGAGGAGTCTTCAAAGGCAGACAGGCTGTGGTGAGACTTTAACTAGGTAAGGTGAATGAAACTGCAGACTACTTGTCAGTTCAGACTTCATCACTGGGCACTAAAACAGTTGAAATGGATGGACCATGTTCAAACTTACAACCCTGTAACATGAGATTTAAACAAGAGAAAGAGAACCTGTCCTGCAGAGGAAAGACTATTCTCCCAAGTAAGTGTTTGCTTTTAAGTACAGGAGGTTGGGGGATGGGAGATGGGGCTGGAAGAATGGTTTGGAGAATAAAGATGCCTTGATACTTCCAGGTTGAAGGAAGAAAGGTGAAACAGGCCAGGAATGCTATTGTGAGTTTTGGAGGAGATGACTCATGCATGGATCAGAGCTATAGAAGTGAGAGGGAACTCCGTCAAGAGAAGAGTGTGAGGCTAGGGCTGAGAAGTGGAAGTCCATTTCTGGACTTGCTCCTTAGAGGAAGATTGGCTAGGTGATATGGAGATGAAGTTGGAGCTGTGGACGTGGGCTGGGGGGTTGTGCGTTCTTACTTCTGAATGACATTGGAGGGTCAAACTATATGTTGAAGAGGGCAAGAGGATGTGCTGGAAGAATGTCAGACTCGGGATCACTGCTCTAAGACCAAAAAAAGGAGCTACCTAGGGGAGAGAGAAGGAAAGAATGATTCTAAGAAGTGTGGTGCTGTAAAAGGAGGCGTATGAAAATGGGCATGTCTACCTGAAGGGAGGCACCCTCTCAGCCTGCGTCAGCATCCTGATGAGAAGTAACAGTTGTCAGCTGACTGTTCTATAGGAGGATTTTAGTATAGTGCTTATTTTCATTTTCCTAAAGATGCATTGGCCTCAGAACTTAGAAAAATGGCATTTTGACTGTTCCTGCCAAGCTGAGAAATAACTATTTTTTTTAATGGGCCCTTACTGCACAAGTTCAGTATCATCCCTGCCTATCACAAGGCACTCAGATTGTATTTGAAAATGAAATGTTTTAAGAGAAGATACTAAAACTCAGTACTATGTATATGTTGTCAGTTCGGTTGCACTAATACATGAAGTAACTTTTACAGATAGTGCACCTCACAGCCAGTGACTGTTCCTACAGAGTTTTCCTTCTTTCCCTCATGCGATCTTTAATAGTTAACAGTATATTTTCTTAAATTCATGTTAGATTTAGCCTTCTCAACAGATTGCATTTGCTTAGAGCACTGGCCCTGTGTTTTGTTTCTCTCTTGCACTGTGTACCCTGTAGCTTCTGTGAACACCTCCTCACTGACTGACGTAATGCACTGGGGCTTCACTCTAAGCAATTTATTCAGAGTTCAGAATGATAGCGGGTCATGTTCAGCTTCATTAGTGTGTATGTGTGTGTGTGTGTGTGTGTGTGTGTGTGTGTGTGTGTGCATGTGCATGTGCGTCTGTGTGTGCATGTGTGTGTGTGTGTGTATTTCTAAGAACACTATAAAGAATTAACTACATAAGTGTAAGCTTTTAGCTGTTAGAGATCTATCATGTAGTAAAATACTACAGTAAGGGATACGGGTGTATAAGGAAGACCGTGGCTGGTGTTGCTTGTGCTCGCACCATGACCTGGATGTAGTGTGGCTATAAAGCTTTCCTCCTTTAGGACTCGGTCGCGAAGCCCCATGTGATTGTCGCAGGCGCAGCCACAGTAAGTTCTTGTCTGCATTCTTACAGAGGGACCTTTGCTTCTCTCTTATGTACATGCTAAGAGAAAGCTGATTTACATTAAATACAGTTCTTGATTGTGTTTATATTTTAATTCCCATTTCTATTATAATTAACCAGACTGATGAATTTTAATAAAAAGGTCTGAATGAACTGAGTAAATTTAATGTTAAATCGCAGTATTATTTTCTATCTAGAATTATATTGAGTATTAGACATTCAAAGACTGTTTTATAGTGAATTTTTATAATTGTGAGCATGTATTTCATTAAATAATTTGACTAAATTTATTCTAGTATTAACTAAAAAGAGAATTGTGTTAAAATTATTGTTACAGTAGGTGCATTATACACTTTACTTTTCTGTGCTAAGTGCCGTCTTAATGCTTAACTTCCGCTGCTTCTTAGTGGTCCATCAAGATTCACAATGGTAGCGAGGAAGCGCTGGCGCAGTATAGGATGAACATCACCTCCATAGCGCCACTCTTAGAAAAGCTGGCAAAGACTAGCGATGTTTATTGGGTCTTACAAGGTAAGGAATGAATAATGAAAAAATGTCATTTTATATATATTTTAAGATATAGGTTTTATTATATCCTCTTTCAAGAGACAAAATTGCTATTTTCTGAGAGTGAATTTTGAAATAATGTTTGCAAGATTATAATAAACTAGAGGGTCTTGCTTTCTTCTTTAAATTTAAGGAATAAACCTATAAATATAGAAAGCATAAAATAAATAAAAAATATCCTCCAACCAGTAGAGTGGCTGCAAAATGCAGTGAAGAGATAAACCCTGAAGGCAAATGAGGTTTCTTGTCAACTGTTTTCCTGTCTGCAGGGCACATTCACTGCTAAAGAAATGCAGGGAAAATATTGACCCTCTTTGTATAATATTGTAATCATTAGAAGTAAAGATATTTGGAAACCGCCCTGTCTTTAAATTGACATCATCTAGTTTATACTGGGTATGAAAGTCACATTAAGTCAGCTCATTTCAGGAATTTATTGAGTGCCCATTATTTAATGTTCCACACAATATGAAATGCCTTGGATATTTTAGCAATTCAATATCTTTGTCAAAAACTCTTACGTTTATTTCCAAATTGGAAGGGATAAGAAAGTAGTAAGGAACTGTTGCACCATCTTTGTTCAAGTTATAGACTCATGACAAGCCTTTCTCTCATGAAAATGAGAAAGAATTAACATATAATAGTTGATGGAAATGGACAGACCTGGGCCTGTGTATTACTTCCAGATTGCCTGAACAGACTTCCCAGAATTGCACTGGGACCACAGAAGCAGACTGGTTATTGTTCCTTATAAGACATCCTTCCATCATCCAGTTGTAGTTTCTTATCATCTGCATCAAGAACTTTAAACTCTTGGGCCATACTGCAGCACCAAAATGTTTTCCCTAAACAGTATACATGGGGAAGTGATAAAAGTTTTATAAATTGAGCAAGATATTGGCTCAGAAGTTGAATGGAAGATAGGAAATCATTGGCAATTTCAGCCAGCTTTATGTAGAAGTAATTTATACTAAGTTCCTGGTCCTACCTCGAGTTTAAGAACAGACCATGGAATGTGGACTAAGTAGCATGTGTGGCCTGCTTTTACCACTAAGAAGCTTTGAAGTGTGTTACTTTGAAATGTGTTTCCCATGTGCAGACCCCGTTTATGAGGATCTCTTGAGTGAAAACAGGAAAATGATCACGAATGAGAAGATAGATGCCTACAATGAAGTTGCAGTCAGCATTCTGAACAGCAGCGCCAGAAACTCCAAGTCCAATGTCAAGTTGTTCAGTGTTTCCAAACTAATTGCTCAAGAAACCATCATGGAGTCTTTGGATGGCTTACACCTTCCCGAATCCAGCAGAGAAACTGTAAGAGTTACCTAGGTGACAGGAGGAGAAACTGAATTCAGTTGCTAACACCCATGAGTCATAAAACAGGATTACAGTCCTAATTACTCATGCTGTCTAAATGTACATGTAGAAATAATTTTGCTTTCTGTTACCTAGATGAGGCTAGAGTAAATAAGAAGTGTCTTATACTCCAAAACTTGAAGACTCCGCCGCTGTAATAGAGAAAATGAATCCTCCTCTAGCGTGCCAGTCACAGTTGAGAAGCTCTGAGTTCTTAGCGTGCACAGAGGACTGCTTTATGTTCTCCATCCCTTATGCAGACTCAACTACAGTGGGGAGCACACATTTTCAGATACAAAATCATTTTTATAACCTCATGGTTCTTGTACTGCATTGTTCAAGGCACAGATTAAGGTGCCTGATGCAGAAACTTTAAGTGAGAAGAAACACTTTGTAAGTAATCACTTTGTATGCTGGAACAAAAGATTTACAGTGATTTCTCTTTTAAAAAATATATATATATATGTCTTCAATTGAAATAGAATTACATCAGTTTCTTTCTTCCCTGTGGCCCCTCCCAGGAGCCACCTCCAGCCCTTCCCATATGCCCCCACTTCAAAGTCAGTAGCTTCTTTTTCTTTATTGTTACTGCTACACACACACACACACACACACACACACACACACACACACATAAATGGATGCATGTATGTGCACAAATATATAAATACAACCTGCTAAGTCTGTTTTATTGTTTGTGTATATATACGTATATATCTTTTAAGGGCTGACAACCAATAAGAAGGCTCATCCGTAGAAGAGACTTAATTCTCCTTCTATCAGCAATCATTATGTCTATAGTTCTTTGTCTAGGAATGGGACCCCGTGAAATTCTCACCCTTCCACATTAATATGTCCATTGATTTGGTCCAGTCTTGTTTGTACAACCTTTTCAAGAAAAGATTGTTCCCCAAGCAGATTTCCTGGTAGTCTGTCTCTTACAACCTTTCTACCCCTTCTTCTACAACGCTGCCGGAACCATAGGTGTAGGGGCGGTGATTTAGATGTGTCCATTGTAGTTGGACTCCCTACAATTCAAGCATCTCTGAAGTGTGTCCAGTTGTGGTTTTCTGTCATGGTCTCCATCTGTTCCATTTACATCCTCTCTGTAAAGAGAGGCCTCTTTGGTGAGGGGTGGGAGCTACACTTATCTGCGGGTATGGAGGATAAGATTTAGAATGTAGTAAGGAATTATGCTGGTCTACCAAAGTGCTAGTAATAGATTCTCTTTTTAAAGACCATGACCTTACTAGCTTTGGGAAGTTGGCTTCGTTTCAGTACCAGCCATGTTTTCCCTTCTGTTTAGAAGGCTTACGGCCAATTATACAGCTGTTGGTTAGCACCAACATGTGAATGCCACTTAGTGCATGTACCTCGCCATGCTGGTCATTGTCATGGCTCCCAGATGTTGCAGGTGGGTAGAACTGTTTGGTTGTTTCCCTCTCTTGGCAGATTGTGTTGTATTTTCAGGTACCATAGAAGCTAGACTACAGGAGAGAGGCTTGAGGGTCAGGTTCAGCTGAATCTTCAAAGTCTTGTGCCTAAGTGTGTATTGTCTTCAGCAATAGGGACCCACCCTTGAAGGGCTTCTGAGTTTTTAAAAAGTAGTGGATCTCAGGAGTGTGTGGGTATATGAGAAGAATTAATCACATACTTATCTTGCCATACTCTTATAATTGAAAAGTTTTGGCATTAGATGATTATTTTATTTTAGCAAGATCTAGCAAGGAGTTCTATAAGCTTAAATGTGTTTGTAAGGAAGAATTTAAATTTTAAGGAAAAAAAATAACTCATGTTCCTTATTTTAGTCCATGAACTGGGTGTAGTGTAGCTATGAAGCCTCTTTTCTTCCCTTTAGGATTAGGTTGCAAAGGCACTTTTTATCAGGTATCGAAAGGGCTCATGTCAAATGTTGTGGTAACCGTCCTTCTGCAAGAAAATGCCTGTGTTTGCATAACCCCATTTCTTTATATATATATAATGGTCTTTGAAGACTTGGAGAGAATTGCAGACCTTGTAAGAGAATCTGTAGACCAGGGTTCCTGAGAACACCAGCTAGAGAACTTCCTTGGTCCAAAGGCTAAACTGATAGGATTTTCTAAACACTTGAATCCTCTGACAGCTTATGCTCTGTGGCAGCATCTGAGTCTCTCAGATGCCCACATTGTAAACCTAGAGTTGGACCAATCTTTTAACTAGACAGAATCTTGACGGCTCGCCTCAATAAGTTTATTATAATCAAACTGTTGAGCATTCCAATTTTATTAGCAATAGATATCTTAAAATTATACTCATAAATTATCTATAAGCTGTGAATTAAATAAAAGGCATATTGTCAATATTGTTAGCTAAGAATTATTATTTTTCAGTAGTAGTTATATTGCATTCTTATGTCAAGACTGAAACTTGATCTTAACTATTCTGGTTTTGGAAGTCTGCTAATTAAAATTCTTTGGTATATTTCATCTGTCAGTATTCCTTTTTTTTTTAAGTTGATCTACTAGCAGTCATCGAATCTGTGAGCTTTTTGCTATTTTTCATTGTTTTTTTGTTGTTCTCTAAAAGAACAAAACCGTGTTAGTGCATTATAAATAGCAAGGCAGTGTTGCTTTCCAAGTGCCATGGTCACATAATAAAACAAGCTTCGTTCTGTGACCATAACCAGAGAAGTTTTAGACACCCAAGCTAGCTCATACAGAGTGCAGGAGTACCATCACTCGCATGTGTGTCTGGGAAGGGAGTCAAAAAAATACAAGAGATTTTGGTTTCGATGTCAAAATCTCACCAGTATTCACAGCAGAAAGTGGAATATGAAATGTGTCACGAACAAGATAATAACCGAAGGAATTGGTCTGTTCACAGAGTGCAATGATCCTCATGAATGTGTATTGTAATAAAGTTTTGAAGCCTGTGGACGGTTCCTGTTGTCAACCTCGGCCTCCTCTCACGCTCATACAGAAGCTAGCTGCTTGTTTCTTCGCCTTATCCATTATTGGGTATTTAATTCTCTATGCCATTCAGTGTAATGCTCGCCGGAAGGCTAAGCCATGTCCTGACTTGGAAAGTGGTGAGGAAAAGAAGACTCTTGTCAATACTCCTGTGTCTTCAGTGGAGACACTTTTACAGGCTTTCTGCAAACTCGGCCTGATTATGGCTTATTTCTATATGTGTGACCGTGCAAACTTGTTTATGAAGGAAAACAAATTTTATACACACTCATCATTCTTTATTCCAATTATCTACATATTGGTTTTGGGAATATTTTACAATGAAAATACAAAAGAGGTAAGAATCGTTTATGTTAGCCCATGTTATCCTCCTGTCTCGTTACAGAACCTGCACTAAAGAGCTATTGTCACTGATTTACTGTTTGTAAGCCAGAGTTTACAAGCATGTTCACAGATGAGGAAGAAAGGCCCTGCAGTTCACTTAACAGACTCTTAACCACCCCTTTGAAACACAGTGAAACATCAGCAGGCCAACAGATGGAAGCTTGCCCCGGGAAGAGGTTTCATGACTCACGTTGGTTTTGCCTGCTTGTGGCTAGGGAAAGTAGAATGATTCTTTCAAATACTAGATGCTATTTATTGTCAGTTCTAATGTAAATATATATATATATATATATGGAAATGCTTCTATTATGAGAGAACTGTTTTATATTTATGTACTTATTAGATGTGTGCACACAAACTAGAGCTTCTATAATGATGTGGCTTTTGCGCACAGCATTTTGGGTTTTCTGATTTAGAAGTGTGCCCATTGTTCAGGATTATGTCTTAAGTTTTCTACAAAAGTATATTATTTGAAATCTTCTGATAAAGACAGCTCCTTTATGAGGATGACCAACCATTTCTTCATCATACTGTGAGAGTGTGCTTAGGGAAATAAGTTCTAATAATAGAACATTTTCTGTCAGTGAAGTGTAAAAGAACCATGAGATCTTTTTTTTTAATTCTGAAATACTAAAATTTTGTAAAGAAGATTGTGGATGCCATTTTTAGATCTATAAATAGATCTGTCATCGTTTCTGTGCCGTTTAGAACCGGAAGGACCACCCGAACCCCTCAAGATCTCATTATAGTTGTCTTTCAAGTTGATGTCACATTTAGGATAGTTCTACTGTGTCTTTTAGTGAGAAATAGAGGCTGTTTACCCCAACCATGGGTCTTTGACAGGAACATTAGCTTTAAATACTGCCAGAAAAATGTTACATTCTTAATATGTCCTGCTCAAATCATGACTTCCCAATGGGTTTTAAAGCAGACTTTGGTTCCTTTATGCAGACTAAAGTATTAAATAGAGAACAAACCGATGAGTGGAAAGGCTGGATGCAGCTTGTGATTCTGATTTATCACATCTCGGGAGCGAGTACAGTAAGTACTTTGAATCTACCTTCAAAGCATATAGAGAGTGGTGCTGCCCAAGCGCCCTTCTCATTTCCTACCCAGCCTCCTCATGCTTACCCCAGGTCTTTTGAAAATCTTTCATTTTAAAAGCAAAATCAATTTTCTTTGAAAAAGATGAAGCAATGATTGATTTTGTATTTATTTACACTAAGTTCTTTAGAAATAGCCGATATCTTACATTATCTTATTGAATCGCTAATTTGACGTTGTCAGGAAGCTTTGTAAAGGGCAAAGAATTTAGAATAGGTTAATGACTATAAAAAGAAATCAAATTTATAGTCTGTCCTTCATAGTGTCTTAAGAAATTTTAATTAACTACTGTTGCATTTTTAAAATAATTTTCAACATTTATTTTTAATCACGTCTAGCTGTGTGTCTGTGTTTGGGCTTGTGCACATGAGTGTAAGCACCTGTGGAAGCCATAGGACTTGGATCCCCAGGAGCTGCAGTTACAGACAGTTACAAGCTGCCTGATGTGGATGCTGGGAACAAACACAGGTCCTCTCCTAGAGCAGCAAGTGCTCTCCGTCGCTGAGACAGCTCTCCAGCCCCTACTAGTTTTATATTTAAAAACCTCAAAACTTAGAACTTTTTTGCTCTAGTTTTTTCCTTCTTCTCAGGAATTTTATGATCTAGACTGCCTCGGATATGAGAGAGTTAAGAAAAACTTTAGTTCTCCTGTGTCTTAACCTTCCAGCTGTAGCCTTCCTGGGCAAGCCTAACAGGGCCTTGTCATAGAGGCTCTCAGAGTGAGGAGTCCGACTCACATGGAAAGCGTGTGAAGATTTAAAGTTGGGAACTCATTCGTAATCTGTGAAGTACCACGTTGTTTTATTGCTCCTTTGCTTACACAAAACTCATCTGTAAATATTCAGTGTTTGAGTGATGGTAAATTCAGACAAGAGGAGAGTGCTCTGAGAGATGTAATTTTAAGATTGCACAGCAGTAATTAGTAATGTAAGTACTATTACTAGATCTTTTTCTAAAAAAGAAAAAGCCGTATTCTTCCTTATCTTGTATTTTCGAAAGTTGCTGAACCTCCCAGTTTTATGGATGTTTTATTTGAAGGCACAGAGCCAAGGAATGAAATTGTGCTCCTTCCGGGAATTCTCTGGTTGTGCTATAAGCTTGCACCAGTGGTGAGAGATTCCTGTGGTCCCTGCCACTGCAAGTTTGAGCTGCAGGTAGTGAAGCTGAGAGCATGAAAGAAATTCAGTCGGGGGAGATGACTTAGGACTTGTGGCATAAATCCATGAATTCTCTGGAAATAAAAAGAAGTGACTATTTCTAGGAACCTAGAAATACCTCTGGCCTATGAATAAGGACTTGGTTAAGAGTGGGAGTAGGGGCTTGTTTTAAGAACATGCCATTTACAGACATAATTAATTGCTGACATATTAAACGGGGATATTTCTATCTAAGAAATTAGGTAGGAAAAATTCATGGCAGATTAAGTTCCTCAATTCAGTGACTTCAGAAAGGAATTAGATTGTAAAAAGATGAAGGCAATTTGGCATTCTCATGTAATCATTTAGCAACCCAACATTTAATACATCTTTTTAGCCTGCCTCTCAATACATCCTCATTCACAATTTAAAAAAAAAAAAGCCCACACTGCTCTGGAAGGACATACTTTAGATTAGCAGATCATTTGTGATGATTAATTGTGTGTCCCTGTTCTGCTATACACATTTTGTTGTCAAAAATTACCTGTATCTTCACTGGAAAAGCATTGCTTGTGAGGTTACAAGATATTTGGGGGCTCCATTCCTGGGTAGTTGAGAGATTAACCTTATTTAAAACTCTAACAGCATGGTATTGTAATTGTCTGACCATAATGTTTTAGATTAAGTGTATCAAGGAATAGTTTTGTTCCCTGTTTTTCATGCTGGAAAGAAAGCATGTTAAAATTCCAGAATTATTAAATAGTCCAGGAAGACAGTATCAAATATTGTTGGCATATACATTCTTTTAAATTAAGGTTTATATCAAATATGCTTAAAATGCGGAGAGACTCAAATTTGGTATCTGCACTAGACAATGATATTTGTGCTTCATTGTGTTTTTTTTTCCTTCTTTTTTGAGACTTTCATGAAAGATTGTGAGGAAAATTTGTAGGGCTCAAAAGTTAGCCTACCTGTTTGATGAAGCTGCACTTCCAAATACCATGGCAGCTCTAAACTTTTGTTGTAATCTTGATACATGAAAGAAAAAAGGGAAATGAGGATTTGAAAACAGACAGAGAGCAGATGAGAGTCGAGTGCATGTGTGACTCACTGTTTGCAGGTCAGGGACCAGAGCCCCAGCTTTGCGCAGCCTATTCCAGGACTCCACCACCAAGGTGCTCTGCCAGCCTTGGGTCGTTGAAACAGGCTCTCACTGGACAGCCTACCTTGGTCTTGAGCTCTTTATATAAATAGACTGGCCCCAAATCTTTATCCTTCTGATCTCACAGACATGAACCACAATGTCCAGCACACAAAAATTTCCAGAGAAACCATAGATGATATTAATAACAATTTCTTGGCTAGTATAATATTGTGACCATGTAAGGCACTTCCTTCCTTCTTACAAGATACATGGTAAAATAGTAGGAATACCTTTGTTCTGCGAGTTTTCAGCACAGTTTGTTTGAGTACATTGTATTGGTCTTTTCTGTTCATTTGAAATAATTGCACAGTAGAAAGGAGAAATGGTATGTAAAATTTATGACAGACCAACACTGGTAGGAACCAGGAAATTTCCTATAATAGAATTGCATTATTTATTACAAATAAACAAGCTTAACTCTGTAGTCCCAGCCTTAGACTTAAAGGTACTTGAAAGTTTGCTTTCTAGAGAGTAGTAAAGGTGATTGAGAAAGGTTAGCCTAGGTTTGACATCTCCATCAATACATGCAGAGCTGGCAAAGGAAGAGAGATGGACCTCAAGTATGTGCTCTGCAGCCAGAATCCACTGTGTTAGCCAAGCAGCCACTGGAACTAGGCAGAGCTAGGTAGAACTGCAGTGTGCTGTTCAGAGGAGAGAAGATTGAGTATGACTGATTATAATCAATTTACACCGAGTTCACATTTGTCAGATTAGAAATAGTGAAGACTATTGCTTTTCCACTGAAGATGTTAAAATGATAGTTTTTAAATATTTTTGCTAAGTAAATGAAATCTATTTATTAAAATTGGATTCATCTGTTTCTTTTAGCCTATAAAGGGCATGGAAGCCACTTTAGGAACCATTCGAGGGCTGACTTTAGCTCTGCTGAACAAGCAGCTGCAGAGAGCAGAGCTTGCAGCCTCTGTAGATAGTCGCATTGCAACTTTCGTGACAGGGGCCTTCATAGCAGTCAGTGACCCTCTCGCAATGGAGTTGGTTACCTTAATAGAAGCATTTATGGTCTGGAACGATGACTCAGTGGTTACAAGTATGTTCTACTTTTCTAGAGGGCTCAAGTTCAGTTCTAGCATCCACATCAGGCAGCTCACAACTACCTATTACTCTAGCTTCAGGGGAATCTAACTTATTATTATGACCTCCATGGGCATCTACATTCAAATGTACACACACACACACACACACACACACACACAAATTCTTTTCAAGTGTGTGTGTGTGTGTGTGTGTGTGTGTGTGTGTGTGCTTAAGCCGGATGTGATTGTCTTCACCACAACCAGGAAGCTGAGACAAAGTTGATTGGTTACAAGTTTGAAATCAGCCCGGACCACTCTACCTCCAAAGGAACAAAATAAAATCTTGGACATATTCAAGCCCAGCATGGGCTTGATGAAGAGGGCGGCGATGAGGGTGACAGGGAGTTCAAACAGATACTTTCCCAAAGATGGGTGGTGAGAGAGAGCTCTAGTCACGATCTCATATGTCTAATCTAATTGTTGTGCTAAGTAAACTAAATATGATAAGTAGTCCTTTAGCCATTGCCAAGGGTAAGGGGTTTGTCTTGTTTACTTCTGAGCATCACGTCTCGACGGGCGTGCTGCGCCATCACACACTGTCCCTGTTTGTTCTGTCCACAGTTCCTGCCAGTGTACATGCACATTCGGGTTCTGGTTGCTGCATATCTGTTTCAGACAGGATATGGGCATTTCTCTTACTTTTGGGTCAAAGGAGACTTTGGAATCCATAGAGTTTGTCAGGTAAGAATGCAGTCAGTTCTCTTCTTTCGACTCAGCATCCTTTTCTGTCTACCTGTTAAGAAATATAAATATGGTCATTATGAGATCATGAGTCATAAGGATTTATGAAATATCACTTTAAGGTTGTTTTTCTGTGTTCACTGTGTAGTAATCTGAGATAATTTAATCGTGATGGAAGGAAAATACAACCTCGAAGCACATATAATAGCATCAGTGATCAGAGGGTCACAGTGCTGGTCTTTTTTGGTTTGGTAGAGCAGTACCCACTGAGCTGAAATGAACGTGCTTTTTCCCCCTGCCTGAGAAGAGGATTAATACTTACAGACCTTCTGCTTTGTGCTGAGCAGTTCCTAAGCATTACTTACTGCTATTGCAACCCTGAGATATCATTTTTCATGATCATGGGTGGGAACAGAGGCTCTGAGAGGCCAATGCTCTGCGCAGGGTCATAGAGTCAGTGGCACAGGACTCACGAGAGCCTGCTCACAGTCTACATGTTGTTAATAAATTGAAACTCATATTTGACATGGCTCTAATGAAAGTCACAGGGACTTTTTAAAACTTAAATGATTCTACTTTGTGCCTCTGACACCTATCCATCTTTTCCCAAATGGGTAAATCAGCATCAAGCAGGCGATGAATGGACACCTTTTTCTCGAGGCAGTCCTATCTCTGCATATATCCCTAAGAGGCTGGTGTATGATTTCTTTCCCTTTATTTAAAAAGATGACAACTATAGTTACAGGATAGTGCAGGCTGGTTTTTTTCCTGTAATTTTGTTAGTGTAATAATGCATATGTTTTTATATTAAACTCTTCAGTGACTTCAGGACAAATAAACCTTGGGGATTGATAAAATACACTGGGATAGTCGTTACTGAATCTTAGCTGTGTTACTGTATTCAGGGAAGTCTGTCTTTGCTTTTCATGTAAATTGGGAATGAAAACCGTTTTCTTCTCCATTTTCATAGGTCTTATTTCGTCTCAATTTCCTGGTTGTGGTGTTATGTATCGTAATGGATCGACCTTATCAATTCTATTACTTTGTCCCCTTGGTCACCGTATGGTTCATGGTCATATATGTCACATTAGCACTGTGGCCACAAATAACCCAAAAAAAGGCAAATGGTAAACAGACTGTCTTACTAATGTTAATGAATATGTTCTTTCAGTGTACTGCATTTCCTATTACTGTTAAAGGCTGTTTTTTTTTTTAAACTATTTCTAAAATAATACAGGCAGGTAGCTCGTGGTAGGCTGTAACACTGCAGAATACTAGCGTACATTTCTATTGTGTGTTTCCCTGTCAATAGTAAGGCAGTTTTCAAACAGCAGAGTGGCGGGAGTGGAAGGGAGGCAGAGCATCACCTGGGGCTGCGGACTCTTCCCACGTTGTACTTCAATACTGGCAACCCTGTTTTGTGTGGTTTCTTACATATGTGGACAGTTTGAGCAAACATTTACTTGCAAAAGCCTCGTATGTCAAAGTTTATAGTTTGTCTTCTATACAACTGTTTAGGAATTATCATCAACCTATTGTACATGTGAAGGATCCAGTTACTTCCCTATAAGATTGTCGTTTCCCAACTCTCACAGACTCTTACTGATCTTGTCCAAGTAAGGCACAGATGTTTCCCTAGTTCTTTCACAGGATCAGATCATTCAAGGGAAATCTTCTGTTCCTTTAATAAAGAATTTTTTAATATTAAATCTGTATCTGACTTCCAACTTAAATATTTTCTCATTGACTTTTGTTAAATAAGTGCCCAGGGAAGTTTCAGTGGAACTACCTTAAAATTCATAAGTGTCTTTGGACACTCTGTACATTTAGAGTGCAATTTCCCTACAAAAGTTAAGCCATTTATGACAATGCATAAACGTGAACATGTACTTTGAAATATGCATATCTTTTATGTTAATCCTAGTCCATTAGGGAGCTTATACTTCTTGGAACTTTATGATTAAGCAGAGTTCCTTAAGCTAGTATTTAACATGGGTTTGAGCATTGTGTTGAACATAGTTTTATGCCCTGTTGAAACATCCAGTAGCAAATGGATGTAAATGCATCCAAGAGGCACCTCTAAGCATGTATCTATAGCAGACATATGGCAGGCGTGTGCGCGGTAAGCCACACACTGCAGCCCCGTTCCTCACAGCAATCCTCTGCTGATCCCCTTTTCTCTACCTTTGATTAATGCCCTAGAAACATTTATATATATTATATGCAAGGGTTATTTTGAGGAACATTCAGGATATAAAACATTAAAGTTTGTTAACAGAAATTATATTGTTTTGTATGTTGCATATTTTCTTTAGGAAATTGCTTGTGGCATCTCGGCTTGCTGTTGAAACTAGCTTTTTTGCTGCTGTGCATCTGCTTCTTGGCATATTCTCAGGTTTGTATGGTCTTCTCAGCTTGTAGATTTAGAGTTTAAGTCTACTGAAGTGTGTGAACAGGGTTAGAGCCTTGCTTAAGCTTTGTTTTTAATGACTGGAATGAAAGTGTCACTCTGTGTCTGACTGCTCAGTGGAGTTCTTTTGAGACCCCACAGACTTTGTTACTACTGTTTTTGTTTTAAGAGCGATTTTAAGCTCTTACTCTGGCAATTGTTCAAGGTCCATTTTACTTGACTTTGATCAATCAAATGTTTATTGAATGCCTCTTATGAGACATACTCTACATGATGATTCTCTTGACGGAATATGCAGCTTAGTTTGTACATTCTTCATTGCACCACACTGCAACTGGATTTTTCTGTAAATGAACAAAGTAAGTTGGAGGCAGTTAATAAAATGAACTTGGGTGTACAGGGTTTGCGATGTTTTGTGTATTTAATTTAAAAGATTTTGGTCATTTTTATACATCTGACTTTCTAGCCTTTATTTTGATGGTTCAGATTTTCTGTAGATTCGGCAGAATGGCAGTGTTTTCTGCTGGTTAAATCCTTCAGGCAGACATTTTATTTGGGCAGCATGATACTAAGAATAAAATATCTTAATTTGAATGTCTATAGTTTTGACATAAGCTGCAGTTGACTCACAGTGCTAGGTTTTGCATAAAGCTATGTTAAGTGCAAATTCCCATTAGGTGTGTTTGTTATGTGTGGAGCGGTCTGTGAGCTAGTTCTGCAGAGCCTTTGGGGGCGGGGCTGGAGCAGGGTTGTTAGGCCTTTTATTCATACTATCATACTTAGAAGCATTTAAGGCATTTTTTTTGGCATAGCATCCAGTTTTCTTTTCCATGTGAGATAAATAAAATAATAAAGCAATGGGGAAATGCATAAAGAAATAGGTACCAACAAATACCCAGTATTCTGTATGTACGTTCAAAAAGGAAGCTGACCCATTATTAAATAGTTAGTGAGAGTATGAAACCTCCCCAGCTCTGGGTCAGTGTTGACTCCGGAGCAAGAAAAAAGAAAAAAACCTTCACAGAATGTCAGTACCCAATAAAAGTTCTTTATTGGTGATATAATAAATATTAAATTTCAATTTATTTGTAAAATTTTAATTTACAAATGCATTTATATAGAGATATTCTTCTTATATGAGGTGGCCAAGATCATATGTTTATATTTAGTATGTTATGTTATCTATCTGCTCATATCTATATATGTGTTTATATATATATATGTATGTATGTATGTATAATCCAGGAGGCTTTATTTATCAACTTTTGATAAGAATGAACCAACATTGCCTGCAGAGTAGATTTTGATACAACTCTGTTTTATATGCAGTTGAAGTTGTGCTTAAGATGGAAACAGTTGCATTTTGTTAACGTAAAGAAATTCTTGATGTTTTTCTTTCGGCTTTAGTAATTGTTTTTCAGTCATCATTTTCTGTGCTGTTGCGGTAGGTCTAGTAATAGGACATTCCTTAGTAGAGGGTGCTGGCAGTCTTTAGTCAATACTGAGGATTGTTCTCTTTGAAGGGCTTCATTAGTGTGCAGGAATGTACCTAAAGACTTTTGCCCCTTCAGTCCCAGATTTTCCTGGCTGTCAGATTAATAAGAGGGTGCCATTCAATAACTGGACAGAGTAAAACTTGAAACTGTGTTTCAAAGGCCGTAATAGCATTGGGATAACTGACTGAGTGAGCAATCCAGGGGACTGTTTCTGTTCTAATCGTTAGAAATAATTAGGGACAGCTAGAGGAAAATAAATTATATTTTCACTTTAACCATTCTTTTGGTTATTCATATCATATTGGCTAAAACATTTTGTATTTTTGTGTCTGACTAGTAAATATGAGCATTTTTGTGTATTAAATCCTAACTCCCCAATAAAGTGGTTTTCTAATTACTAGTTTTTGTTTTTTTCAAAATTTTGTTTTGTAGTAGCTTTCATGTGAAGGACAAATAAATTTGGAACTAATTAAATAATATTTATTTGCCATAGCTAAAGTAAATTTATTATGTGAATTTCAAATGAAGCCATATTTTACAAATAAATTGGACAGAAGTTTAAAATGTACATGTGCTTTGTGCAACTCTATCAACAAATCTGTATCTTTGAGTGTAATTGCAGAGCAGACATTGATTTGCATTGTCTTAACTGTCTGGATTCCTTTTCTTAGGGTGCATTTGAGAAGATCTTTTCTCTTTGGCCACTTTCCAAATGTTTTGAGCTGAATGGGAATGTGTATGAATGGTGGTTCAGATGGAGGTTAGACCGTTACGTATGTATCTACTTTATGATATCTTTCTGCCTCAAATGATACCGTTAGGAAATTAGTTGTGCTTTTGTCTATTTCTGCTCAGTTTTAGAATAAAGAAACACATTGAGAGTAAGTTAAAGTAGACTACACACATTCTCTTTTTCAGTACATGCATGTAAAATATTTTCATTGTTGTCTGTAAAGTAGCCTTTGGCTGACAGTTGTTCACATATATATATATAATCCAGCATCAGAACAGTATTCATTCCTGAGTTTCATGAAATGTTGATTTTGGGAAGTGTGTGTTAGAGAAGGACATACCCTGAGCTGCCAAGAGTTTTCAATCCACTCTCAAATCTAAGATTACTATTATACAGTGGGGTTATATTATACAAAGTTGTGCAATATAGATTTGGTGATAGACATGTAAAGCAGCAGCAGCAGCAACAACCTACTGGCCTATTCCATGCCCTTAACCTGAAAAGAAAGTGCAGACCGTCTAGCAGAACACTCAGTCATGGTAATTACTTTACCCTTTGCTTTTTTTTCTCTTTCGCCATCTTTCAATATGCTTTCTTGATAACTATTCAGTGCCATGCTTGGTTTCTAACATCCGTGCCGTTTATTGCATCTCTAAGCCACATATGAATACAGTGTGCCTGCTGAAGTCTCTAATGCAGTCTGCTCAGATATGCTTATCTTCTTCTGTTTTGTCAACTAAAGCAGAACACGATAGCCTGGTTGACTCCTGACCAACAAAGCATACTTCTTATAGTTCCAGAGACTGCGAAATCCAAGTTCATGGTGATGGCAGATTTAGTGCTGGGTGAGGGCCATGGGCAGCCCTCACTAGGAATGTTCCCTGGGGTCTCTTAAAAGCACTAATCCCACTCATAAAGGTTGCACCCTTATGTCCTGACCGCTTTCCACATACTCACTTCAAATGCCAAACTCCACATAGGAATTCATTTTCGACATTCAAGAGGGTTTTGTTATTTGGGGCAGGGGGGTGGGAGGCAGCAGAGGAATGCAAAGCCCAGTCCACTTCAGTGACAAGTCACATTATGCCTAGTTATGTCTTTTTTTAAAAAAAAAAACTTGTGCTTTCTGCTCCACCATGTTGGGTTCTGAGAGTAGTTTCCTTTTAAGCTTAAGATTTAGCAGTGATATTGCTGGGTTTGATTGAAGGAAGCTGTGTACAGTGTATTTCAATGTTTTGGAGACTGTATGGGCTTGGTATGTTTAAATTGTTGAGGTTAGGGGTGTAGGCCAGTGGAACAGATTGTGTTCCTCACGTAGAAGGCGCTGGACTCAGTCTCCAACACTTGAAAAAATCAGTGGTCTTCCCTCCCTGCTGCCTAGGCTGCTTGCTCTCCTTTTTGCATTTTGAGCAGTACTGGCTTTATTTGACTATCAAAGTTTGTTCTTACAGTTTACGTTCTTCATGGCAACTTTAAAGTTGTCAGCTTCTAGCCCACCTACTTCTATAAATACATTTTAAATAACCAGGCATTGTTGCTAGTGTTTGAGAAGTGACTCTTCAAAGCAACTTTCCCCTGTGTTGTTTGCAGGTGGTGTTCCATGGGATGCTGTTTGCTTTCATTTATCTGGCTTTGCAGAGACGACAAATACTTTCTGAAGGGAAGGGGGAACCTTTGTTTTCAAACAAAATCTCCAACTTTCTATTGTTTATTTCAGTAGTCTCTTTCTTGGTAAGTTTCAAAATGTAAGTTTCTAATTATCTAAATTATTAATTGATAGGGAAAATTGGCTGATAGAAAAACCTTAAAACAAAGAAATATAATCAACTGATTTAAATAAAAACTAAATTTTTTACTGTATTGTTTTGAATTGGATATAAGTTCTAAATATAATGTACATATATAAGTAAAGTATGGGCAGTAGCTGAGTCTAGTTAGATTGGAATTCAAAAGCTACAATCAATCAGTTTAGGAAAACTTACATCATCTTCTCTCTGATGTGAAGAGCCAGCACTGTCTGTGACGGCCCGATTCCCAGATGCGCCAAATCTCTGTCCTGTCCCTTAAGCATGTTCTCATGCTTAGACAGTTGGTCCTCCTGAAACAAATGAAGAAAGCCTACAGAAAGCGTCTAATGATTTTCTTTATCACATAGGGAGCTGCTATAAGGGTCAGCTATTTTGTGACTTGACCTGTACACTCTTGTTTTAGACCTACTCCATCTGGGCTAGCAGTTGTAAGCACAAAGCCGAGTGTAACGAGGTCCACCCTTCTGTTTCTGTGGTGCAGGTAATTATCTCTTTTCATTTTCCTCTAGAGCCCGTGCTGGCCTCAAACTCATGGCCCTCGTGCCTCGGTCTCCCAGGTGATAAAATCATGGCTTTCACACTCCACTCCCAAGAATTATCTTGCTTAGAGAACTTTTCACTTCAAAGTTTTTGTGTGAATATTGTCTTCAGAAGTGGAGAGATGAAAGTTCAAACCCAAGAAAATTCAGGGAAATTACCTAACCATCTGAATTTTTTTAAAATATTTATTTATTTATTATGCATACAATATTCTGTCTGTGTGTATGCCTGCAGGCTAGAAGAGGGCACCAGACCTCATTACAGATGGTTGTGAGCCACCATGTGGTTGCTGGGAATTGAACTCAGGACCTTTGGAAGAGCAGGCAATGCTCTTAACCTCTGAGCCATCTCTCCAGCCCCTAACCATCTGAATTTTATCTTCCTTTACAGTATAGAGATATTAAAATCACTATCATGTTTGAAAATTAGACAGCCAAGCATTTGTAATTGGAAAATGTTAATTCCAGGACTAGGTCAATGGCTCAGTTGGTAAAATGTTTACCGTACAAAGCACAAAGATTTGAGTTCAGTCCCCAGCACCATGAAAAAGGTCAGATGTAGCAACATGTGCTTAAAATCCCAGCTCTGGGCAGCAGAGGCTAGAGGATCCCTGGGGCTTACTGGCCAGCATGTCTAGCCAAATTGGTGAGCTCTATGTTCAGTGAGACACATATCTCATAAGAAGAAAATGAGGAGGAATTGAGCAACACACCCAATTTCAACCTCTTTTCCATACACACACGTATTCATATTTGCAAACATGCACATCATACTCAAAACATTTTAATTCTATGCTCATAACTGCTTTTATTAATATTTACTTGAATTTATTTAATTTTGTTTATGAGTTGCCTACTGTGCTAAATACCGTATTGATAATTAATGATTCAGTATTAAATACGATGACACCCTTTCTCAAGAAATGTATGGTTTGATGGAGATGTGGATCAGTAAACATTGATTGATTTATTTAGCAATGTTTTATATTCATTTAATAATCTTTTAATTCTGCATATTAGATATTCTAGTGATGACAAGATCCAGCACATTTTCTACTCTTATGGAGGGGATAATATTCTATAACAAATTATGTTATATTATATGTATATATAACTAATAATGAGTACAAGTATCTCATACTTTATGAGAATTTAATAGGGGTGGTATATGACATAGCTGGAAGACAAACAAATGGGGTCAGGGGTCATGGATCATTTCCCTGAAAATAGATGGAACAAACAGCTGGGCAGGCCCTCTAGTGAGAGGGAACATGGCACAGTGAAGGGACATAAAACAGGCCATTAGGCCTGGAACTCAGAGAGCCAAGATGTAGAAACGTGGAGAATAGTGCCTGTAAGGGGAGCAGAGTCTGGCGAAGACTCAAGCCGGCTCTACAAAGCAAATGGTCAGTTGCAGGTCATCATAGGGCAGGATCATCAGTGTGGGGACAGTAGGTATAGATTGCTTTGAAAGTGTGGGCGTTCTTCCTAACCTTCACTGATGTAAGGGCAAGGTTTTTGAAGGAAATTGTCTTAAACTTTGAAGAATAAGTAGTCTAGCACGGAGAGGCATGGAGAGTTTTTGGAGTGTCTTCTCCTAGATCCTAAGTGTTCTTCAGTGTAGGGACTGTTGGATTTATTCTCAGCTTCTGTGTATTCTGTAGCACCAAATAGGTGAGAGATCCTCTAGGCATGATTGGTAATCAAGTTTCCAACGCTGTCTTTGAATGGCATTTCTTTTGCTTCTGCAGACAAGAGGACTGCTTACCGATAGCTCTTTGTACAACTTATGAAATGTCAGTGCTGTGACTCACCGGATGAGAGGAACATTAACACTCATAATATACCAGGCAGAACAGTTTAGAGAGAGAAATCAGAGAGTGGCTGCAAGCAGAATAACATCAGCTCCTTCCTACTTAGCCGCCCCCTCATGCTTGTCTGTCTAGCTACCTTTGTTGTGAGAGCCGAGCTTCTCCCTTGTAGGGTAGTAGAGTGGACTAGGAATATAAATTAAAGCAAACATTAGTTTTATTGACTGCTTCTTGTTAAGGATATTTGTTCCACACCGTAAATGTCAACAGCATCTAAGAAATTCAGATGCTATAGCAACGTTCTTCTGACCAGACTGCATGCTTGTTCCTTAGATGTGGACAGAGGATATATGTATGTTGAGAATGACAGATGACAGACAGAGAGATAAATAGATAATCATTAAGTACATGCATTACATACATGTCTGAGGGGATTATTTGAAGATTTTAGCCACATCAATAATTCCTAGTATTTGATATGAGAAGTTTTTCTTTCCTCATTTCCCTCTCTCTCTTCTGTCCTCCCTCTATTTCTCTGTCCTTCTCTCTCTACCTCCTTTCCTCTCATTCTATACATATATATGTGCATATATATATATATATATAGAGAGAGAGAATGTGTGTGTGTGTGTTATTAGAGAGAGAGAGAAAATGTGTGTGTGTGGGGGGGGGGGGTCTGGTAGGCACCAGACAAGTACATCACCATTGAGTGTAACCCCAGCCTGTGCCAATCTTTGAATCTGAGCTTTGTGGTTTTGCCCGTCATCCTTGATAGGAATTTTCAGCTGTGACTAGTTATGGAACAGGTAATTAATCATAAAGAATGTATAAAAAGGATTATAATAGCAAACAGGAAGTTTTAATGTTAACCCAAATTTAAACATTATTATCTTCACTTGACATTAATAATGACTTCCCAAACTTCAACTGTGCTCTTTATGGTGATTATTTCATTGATTTTTCTATTTTCCTTATTTATCAAATATGATAAAGTACAGCATTTCAGTAGGACAAAGGGATGTAGTAAATGTTGGGAATGGTGGATCCTAGATCTAAGGAGAGAAAGTGCTCTTCCCGAATGTCCAGTTGTGCAGCCAAAGGGACTGCATACATATGCATCCATATGTCCAGTACTTTGCATGACAGCTAGTTATAATGACACTTTACCTCTAAATGTGCAATGCTTATGCTGGTAACCCTATAGAAAGCTTTTTTAAAGATCTCCAGTGAGTGCCTCAATAAACACCCATGCGTGTTTTCATATTAATGCTTATGTCTTCTTTTTAAAGCTCCTCCCCATTTGTGTTGCTCATGAAGCAGACCCAGTTAAGTGCCTTTTCTCAAGTCCTAGAACTGGCACAAACAGGCCCTGTTGGTAGCTCTCTGATGCTATTGCCCAAGTATCCTGCAGCTAAATGCCTGAGAGTTTCTTCTGGCCAGATTAGCCAAATACCTTTTTTCACTTCCTTATTCTTATCTCTCCAGAGAATTTCTGCATCCTTTGACAGAGGCATGGGATAAACATCACTCAAAAGGAGTTCTTTTCTGAAGTTTAAATGGATGTCCCAACCCTTTTATAAGAGTAAAATTTTGAGGGGCTGGAGAGATAGCTCAGTGGTTAAGAGCACTGCCTGCTGTTCCAAAGGTCCTGACTTCAACTCCCAGCAACCACACGGTGGCTTACAACCATCTGTAGTAAAGTCTGGTGCCCCCCTCTTGCCTGAAGAGCAATGTATATCTAATGAATAAATAAATCTTTAAAAGAAAGAGTAAATTTTGAAAAGATAATGATGAAAATGTAATCTCTCTTTTTTTGAAAAAGCATACTGTCTTGCTTCTTTGAAAGGAAGATGAATTTTAAGGATAGTACTTAATAAACTGGTTGGTTATAGGATATGAGACTGTGATTTGGAAGTTTCAAAAATACAAGAGTCTTCCCCCTTGCACATAAAAGATGCAGGAAAGGGTGTCAGCTAGAAGCCCCCAAACCAGAGATTGTTTTGGACTAACAATCCAGAGAGAAAGCTACTGCGTGGGAATGCTGTGTGAGATGTCACCTATCAGGCCTTGTGGAGGCCACCTGATGGTTTTCATGGCCCTGCTGCTCCCATACACACATCCCTGGCAGAGCAGGAAGGATTGCATTCACTGTGACAAAATACTCAAGAAAACCAACTTAAAGGAGGCAAGACGTGCTTTGCTTCATGGCTTAATAGGTTTCAGTGGCGTTTGTGGGCCTGAGCATTTCTGGGCTGTGATGAGGCAGAGCACCATGGAATGAATGTGGTCTGTCCAAGTTGCTTGCCCCAGGGTGGCCAAGAAGCAGAAATAGAGAGGAAGGTTCAGGGACAAGGTTTACTCTTCATATCCTCGTTGACCTACTTCCTCCATGCAGGCCCCAGCCATGAGCTCATCGGTGAGTCAAAGCACAGATAGGAAGTTTGAGTATGTAAAGAAAAAGAGTGGCCATGGACCTGGCAGATACTTTATGAATAGAGCAAAAGTACATCAACTTTCCATAGAGAATCTGGTGGTGGGGAGCAAAGGGTTAATATGTTTCTGTTATGCATAAAGTAAAACATTTTCTGTCTTACATTATCTCAAACCATCACTACGCTTCAGTGTACAGATCATGTGTTGAGAAACCCAGGTTGTATGCACTCTAACCAAAATATCCTGCCAATATTTATCAATTAAAACTATATATCAAATTCAAGAATATAAACAATGAAATCGTCACTTTATTCTTTTAAATAAACATGCAATGATATTGACCTTTTTGGTTTTTTTCTTATAGATTGTAGCCTTCATCCTGATAAGGAACATCCCTGGATATGCCCGTTCTGTTTACAGTTCATTTTTTGCTTGGTTTGGAAAAATTTCACTAGAGGTTGGTACTCTAATATTTTGCTTTATCACAAACAATCAGGCATACATGTACATGTATGTGTGTGTGAATGTGCAAACCTGTTGTACTCCTTTTAGATCAGGGTTATATCACATGTATTTGAACATAAATTTGAACAATCATAAAGCATTTGGGATGCTTTTAAGTCTTATTTAACAGTAACTAGAGGTCAGTGACTATCAGAACATCTTCACATTGCTCTAAGCTTTTCAGTCCAACTAAGAAGTAAGAAGTAAGCAGAAAAGTATCAACCAGATAGAAATCAAGTCACACCAGGGAGATTTTGACTTTTTGTTCTTCTCTATAATTAAATACTGCTGGAATTCAGCTCTCTAATGTTTATTGTAGTAAATGTAAGGTTTATATGACTGGACACTGTTGGAAGATATTCAGATTCATTACAGTCTGAGCTATAAAGATAAAATTATCTGCAAAATCAATTTAAGCCACGGGGTGTGAAGCACACTCTGCAGATTCTGAAATTTGTTATTTGAAATAAAATGCTTTCACACAATTCATACTACAGTTATAACAGATACTTCATAGAGTATATTTATAGAGTTACCTTCTTAAATAGGACAGGTAAGTTTCTCCAAGTTCCCTGGTCAGGATTCTCTCATTTTCCGTTGTCTCCGTTAGAAGAGGGACTGTATAAAGCAACAAACTGCACATCAGGCTTCCGGGCCATCATGAGAACCCGATGGGTCAGAAAAGCCTCCCAGAGTAAAGCATCACCACAATATTTAAATTAGGGACATCTGTGACTTTCTGCTCTGCTCTGTTTCCAGCTGTTCATCTGTCAGTATCACATCTGGCTGGCCGCAGACACGAGGGGCATTTTGGTACTCATCCCTGGAAACCCTACTCTCAACATCATTGTCAGCACTTTCATCTTCGTTTGTGTGGCCCATGAAATTTCTCAGATCACTACTGACCTAGCGCAGGTCCTTATTCCTAAAGATAACCCATCTCTCCTCAGAAGGCTGGCATGTACAGCTGCATTCTTTTGTGGACTTCTCCTCTTATCCTCCATTCAAGACAAATGAAGACTCTTGGCTCCCAAGATCCTGACACCAAACTCTTTGGGCTTACTTTGCAACTGCCTGGAGGGGAAATCATCTGTCTGGAAATATTAATGACTCTGTAAATATAAACATTCGACAAGGGGATAGTTTTGTGATGTCTGCTAACTTCGTGTGGTTCTACATATCAGCGCTGCATATATCCAGTGTGAACCAGGATGCATCAGACAGGAATGTATGTAGGAAAGACTTTTCTACTGGACCTGTGTCTCCGTTCATAGGTGATTATAGTTGACATATGAAGGCAGGGAAATGATCGGTTTTCCAGTAAACATATATGTAATTTAATTAGCTTAGTGATGCCACTGAGTGTTTGATATTCCCTAAATTTGTAGTAATTGTCCCATCTGTGTCTGTGCTCATGGAACTACTTCTCTGAGAACTTAGTACCGAAATGGCCCGCAGGGTTCCTTTCTGTCACGCCTGCAGTGATGTGGAGTGAGAGTCAGTCTGTCATTAGCTTGTTTGTATTCATATCTGCTGTGCATTTCGGATGTGACTTTTTTTCCTAGCTGTGGTTTCAGGTGTGTAAGCCTAAAGCTTTGTACATTCTGCCCTTCACAGAGTTGTTCTGAATCTCGGTGACAAGGTCTGGTCATTGTGGATGTCATTCTTATTTTTAAAAAAGGCCGAGTGTTCCTTCCAATCCGAGATACTTCTGTTTCTTTTCCCTTAATTCTAACAAGATAACAAGCTACCCTGTGTATCCACAAATGTTTGCTGGCCACTAATTAAGTATTGTATATTATTTCCAATCTTTGGAAAGTCCTTTATAGCCCTTTGGTTACTGCCTATTATTCCCTTCTATTTTTTTTAAATATTTATCAATCTGAACCTGTACAGCATAGTGAAGTTTCAAGTCCTTTGACTGAAATGTATGACCTAGGATTGTAAGTACAATAGTGACTTTGGATAATGAATGATTTGTTCAGTTGGTTTTTTATAACCTAACTGTTAAACGTATACATTTATTTATCTCTTGTACAGATCTGATTATGATTTTTAATGTATGAAAGATTGCACTTATTTGCTTTTCTCCTGTGTGTGGTAAGATGTATTTTCTGTTCACAATGTGTGACAGTAAGGAGTAATTTAAACAGTAAATAAACATTCAGTGGATGCTTATTTTTGTATTGGCAAAATAGCAAGTCTTGGGTGTGTTTTTTTTAAATGATTTTTTATTTCAGTTATCCTCTTTACCAACCCCTTTATATGTAGGGATAAATCACCAGGTTCTAGCTGAGAGCGAATAATTTACTTATTAGGGCTTGTGACGGTAATCTGTCTTCCCACCAGGAAATTTAAGAATTATGGTTTATTTCTATGTTTTATTTCAAAGTTTTATAATTCTCCAACCTTATATGCTATTGATACATTCCCACTAACTGAGAAATATTTATTTGACAGAAATGTGTTTCCCTGTTTCTCTGTTCTTCTGCCCTTCCTTAATCTTTTGACATTTCCCAGATAGACAATTGTAATGATTCATTGCTCTGCCTCCTAGACGGCAGCCTTGTAAGCAGAGACTCGTAGAGTTATAAATCAAAAACTTCCCAGCACTGTGCTCACATTACTCTTGCTCATGTAGCTTGCCAATGAGCAGAGTGCATTTTAATTTAGCTTGTACGTTTTATCACCTGAAGAAGTCTTGCTGATGGAGCAATTGAAAGAGAAAGATGACCAGTTCTTTCTGTGGTTTGCAGGCAACTATGTCTTTCAGTAATGATGCCCAAGAGAATGTCTGGTGCCGAAGTTTTTCTCTTCTATTTGAACTCAAGCCTAAAACTTAAGCGAAAAAGTATTATTTCTTCATGGCATTTTTTTAAGTTTCAAGACATTTTTAGATAGCACTATACATAAGAATATAATAAAAACATAATGGGTTTTTTATATATATTTATACTTGAAATCCATCATATTTAACTTGGTTTAGCATGTCTTCTGGATAAGAGGGCATTGCAGAAGCTGCCACAAGGATGGCATCTGTGTTTGGTAAAGAAAGTGTTCTTTCTGCTTGGTGTAGATGCTGACTTGCTGGGCATGCCAATCTTCATAAAACTGCTTCTGTATGCTAACAAATAGAGAGGACACTTCTCAAACTCAAATAGTCTCTAGTCAAAATCGCATGCAGGAAACCATTCTGCCTCCAAGCTACTTTGCTACTCAATTTTCCATGCCCGCCCCACTTCTTGTGGCAAATCTTCCCCTTGTGTCCAAGCACATTGCCCATCTCCCTGTATTAGAATGGATTGTTTGTTTTTGTGAGTTAATAAATGATATTGATATGCCACTATTCCATCACAGCATAACACTACAATTTCTTTAATGGATACATTTTTTCCTCCATAAATTCTTTATCTTCTCAAGGCTAGAAAGCTTTTAGATGTGATAAAGTTAACTTTAATAATAAGCATATCAGTATTTTCATCTTTTACAGATTTTTTATAAGTAGATGGTTAGATGGATGGTGATGATTAGGTAGATGGGGGAGGGAGGGAGGGAGGGAGGGAGG